GGAGCCCTCAGTGTAGAGATGTGATTCATTGAGTCCTCATTTAAGCGCATCAGAAACAAACAGCAAAAAAAAAAGACTCACCCGTGGTTGCATCTGATCATGCAGTGGCGGGCTGTGCCCACAGCTTCCAAGGACTGTGTGATTGCACAACTGCGGATCATGTTCCTCTGGAGGAAATAGCCTCGCTTTCCCCCTGCTTTATCTCGCATGTGTGACCACACCCAAAGATTTTCTGAAACCAAATTCTCAAAAAGCAAGAAAATTTTTATTTAAAAAATACTAGTTCTGCAGTACCCATGATGTTTTACTTCTGAACACTTGTAATTCTGACAACTACAAAACAACTATTCTCCTGTTTCTTTCCAAGGTATAAAGCTACCTGAGGCCATACATCTCTCTCTCTCTTTTTTATTTAAAGAACTATACCCCAATGTTATCCCCAAAACAACAAACCTGTAAAGTAGGTTAAGATGAGAGAGAGAGTGACTGTCCCCTGCAACCTTCCATGGCACAGTTTTGACACAAGTTGGGACTCTGGTCTTGACAACACAACTACAGTCCACCCAAAATTTTTATGGAGTTTCTCCCAGTCTGGGAGCTGCCTTTTTAACTCAACCAGAATTTAAGGGATGAAGACTCAAAATTTCCCTCCAGGCCTCCTCTTGACCAATCACTTCAAAAGTCCGGTTCCCCTAGGAACAACATTTCAGGGAGATTAATAGGTTGCAGCAAGAAAAAGGGAGACAGAAAAATTCTGTCCCACTGACAGAAGTGCCTTCTGTGAGTGGAAAAATTTAGGTTGGCTCCATCTCACAGTTTCACAAGCAAAATTGAAAATGGGATATTTAAGTCAAACCAGCAAGCCTTCAAACTCAATAGCATCCTTGATGTGACCTTCCCATGTTCGTACTATCTCCGTCATATACAAGCTGTTTTATACTAAGCTAGGCCCCTTGATTCACTTTGCTCAGTATTGCCTATCCTGACTGGCAGCAACTCTGAAGTGCTTTCAGCAGGCAAATTTCTTTCTCAGAACCTGCCATCTGAGATCTTTTTTGCTGGACATGTACATGCAAACCATCCTTCATCACTGAATCACAGAACAGCTGTCCTTGGACTCTTGCTTTTAAAGTTGTCCTGCTATTTAAAAAAAATTATTTGTCCTTCCCCAACATAGAACTGTGACTGATATTGGTAGAAATCAAAAAGCTTCATCACTTGAGTTAACTTCCATTGCATGTTTCTTAGGCTCAAAGCCTAACCTCTTTTTTTTCCCCCCAAAAAAGCCAGGCAAAATGCAATCAGTTCCCTGAAAATTAGTTGAAGTTTTCCCATTCATTCTAGTTGGAAATGGATTGGGCCCAGAATTCTGTTTTGCAAAGCAAATATTCATCTTCAAACATTAACAGCTATGGGGTAAAGCTGGAGTTTTAAATCCCACACAGCAGGATACATGTAATTCTTTAGAATATTCAAAATCAGCAACTGGAAAGACTGTAGGTACATTTACCAAAAAGAAAAAAGAAAGAAACTTTGTTCTGGAAAAAAAAAATTAATGCAATAAGCTGATGCAGTGAGAAATAATCTCCTAGGGGAAGTCTCAGTTTACCTGAACAATAATACTAGAAAAGCCATCCCAGCACTAAAAGCAGATAAGAGCTTATGTAAATCTTTTAATTCAGCAAGGTGACAGCTTAGAAAGTGCTGAGAGCCTCATATCACCTCTCTCCTTTTGACAACTCTGAAAGCAATTCAGCAGGGATCACTTCTTCACATCGCGGCCTTGTTGCACCAACAGAGGACAAAACCCATTTTATTTTTCACACAGCTGAAAACAGGATTTGTCATGCTGAAGCAGACAGTTGCTCCACTGACAGTTTGTCTTAAAACTTGCTCATATGCATGTTTGGAAGAAGACCTGGATTAACAGAGTTGCCTTTTCCGCTGATGTGGCGAACACCTGCAGCTGCCTTATGTGGAGTCAGACCATTGGTCTATCAAGACTAGTATTGTCTGCTCTAACTCAAAGCAGCTCTCCAGGTTTCCAGGTACAGGCCTTTCACATCACATACCACCTTTTAACTGGAGATGTTGTGGATTGTAGCTGGCACTATCTGTATGCAAAGTAGATGCTCTACCACTGAGCCACAGCCCCACTCCAAAGTAGGGGTGAAGGATTTATGATCTTTCCATCTGTACAGAACACAAGAGCTCAACAAACTCACTTGTAGTGTGTTTTGAATAAGATACCCATTGCATTTTTTTTTACAGATACTCTCCTCCGTATATGCTTGCCAATATTTTATGTTGTTGATCTGGCCAGCAACATTTCTTTAAGGCAGGTAACCACTGGGGGAGGGGGGATTTAAAGTTTCCAGATGTTTGAAGGGTACTTTGTTTTTCAGATTTACTTGCAGGCATGGAAGGTAAGAATATGTTGTGGGTTTTGTTTTGTTTTTTTGAAAAGTCTAACATGATGATTCCAGTAGATCCATCCATTGTTAAACTTTGCAGAGGTGAAGTTGTTGTTACTGTTTCCTAGTCAGTTAACAACTTTTTGCGTGAGGGAGCCATCTCAGGATTTTTAAAAATCTTTGTACCACAGGTCAGCTGACAGATTCTGACAACTCCACTCATAACCCACTGGCTTTTAATCTGACTTCACCCCGAACCACCATATTTCCCCCTAGCTCCATCCAACACTAAAGGGGTAGTATTTCTTTATCCAGTCCTGAAGTGAGAGGGCTAATTGGAGATACTTGATGGTGATGGAACTGAAGGAATTCCAACTGCAGCAAGCAGCACATGCTTTAATTCTGGCACTGAAGTACAGTACAAAGCAAAATCATGTTTCAATAGTGAAGCCAAAAGGAGGGAAAAATTTACTCATCTCTACTGAAAATTTACTAATGTTCAAACCATTCTCTGCACCGACTGTAAAGACTCAGTTGTTTTTTTGGAGAAATTGTAGTGATCAGGTCTCACATATCCTTTGTCACATTACGTTTCCTATACAAAGTCTTGTATCTTTAAAAAAATCCCTTCCTGTTTATTATATATCGAATTTCATATCCAGCAACAATAAAAAAGAAGGATATTTAATTTCCTTTCAATGGTATGTTACCTTCTGACCCCTCTGTTTGATTTTATCCAGCTTGCTTATAAATCTAACGTATAAATGGAGCTGTTTTTGTTTGTTCAGTCAGTTATGGATGTTTTCCTATAAAATCTTGGTATCTAATGAAGGGATCTTTGACCCTGAAAATCTTCTTTGTTTGGAAGGTGCTACTGGACTTCCATCTACCTCTCCTGCTGCAGACCAACAAGGCTGTCATCTAAAATGACAAAATCTTGATGGAGGTCACTAGCAAACACTTGTGAACTTTCCCCACTAAAAGAATCTGATGGCTAACAAAGACTAGCACCAAACAGACTAACAAAATTTGTGGCAGGGTATGAGCTTTATGAGTCACTGCTCACACACACACACACACACACACACACACACATGCGTGTATATATATGTGTGTGTGTGTGTGTGTGTGTGTGTGATTGTATATATGTGTGTGTGTGTGTGTATATATGTGTGTGTGTGTCTGTGTGGTTTTTCAAGATTAGGTGCTTACCAGCAGCAGCAGGAGTCTGCAATATAAATTTTGGTATGTGCATGGCCAGACCAGATGCCAGATTGCACAGCATCTTACACCATGGTGTCATCTCAAACATACTTGGGTAATGGGTGACCCTTATGGGAGTACAACTCACCAAAAGGACAGATAGGTGGAGAAAACAGTTGAAGAGGGCCAGAAGATCTCTGACAACCTGAGTCTTCCCACAGTGGATGGTTACAGAGGGCCAGAAGTTCTCTGACAACCTGAGTTGCAGAGGGCCACATAACAGAGTGAGGTAGGTTCATCCCTCCCCTCTTTTGAAGGTCCCCCTCCTACCCCTCACTCCCCAGCCAGGGGCCGTGGCCACACGTGGGGAGCTGCAGCATACAGTCCTCAGAGAGACAGCACCAAAATACTTGCAGAGCAGGGGGTTGCCACTGGACATGGCCTCCTGAGGTCACCACCACAATATCCACGCACTGCAGAGGCTGTCCCCAACAGGGCCCAGTGGTGCCCCATCCAGCTGACCACCAGTGCATGTATGCATTTTCCCAGTTGGAACATTTCTATGCAGATTCTGCAGGAGCCCATCCACCACATGGATTGACACGGCCCCCAACATCCATAGGTCATGGACAAAGATCATGCTTGGCCCATCACTATCTGAATTTTGGTAGATGGACACTCAAGAAAGGGTCATTTTGGTGGTGAACTTCAGGTCCATGATATTTATTCACTGGAGAACAGTCTTCTGGAAGTAAGCCTCATTGAAGAAAATGGGACTTGATTCTGAGTAGACCCCTTCAGTCATTCTTTCCCTCTTACTTCCAGACCATGCTGTTATTCCAGCATACCTTTGACCTAGATAGCCATTAAGGATGATTAATTAATAATAAACTCAGATCTGACATGACGTCATGGGTATAAAAATTTAGCATGTCACAGTTTTAGGATACAGAAGCTGTGGATGTCTTAAAGGCCAATTCTGTCTGTGCTTATACCTCTAGTTACAGAATACCATTTTAGTACAAAACGAATTTCTTCTTATATACAGCTGTTTAAAATGATCGAGATGAGGGCCCAAAATAACTAAGGCTGGAGATGGATTAATGATATTTATTCAGAGAGTTGAAAGGCACTTTTGAAAGAGGGATTGCTGCTCATGACATGTACACACATCTCTCGCTCTGGTAAAGAGGGTTGGTATGCATCTATAATCTCTCTACAGCTAAAATATTTGACTGTATGTCAGCAGTACACACACTCACACATTACTGACAACAACAGAATCAATTCCAGCCAATTGCTCTTGATATAGCTAAAGTTGTTGGTGTTCCCTACATCTTAATCTTATACAGTGTGTTGTTTTCTTTGTTTTGTTTCCCCCAGGAGCATGGTATTCCAACTGATATGGGCTATGCAGTTGCTCCACACCATTCTGGTGTCTATCCTGTTCATATTCAGCTTTATGAAGCCTGGAAGAAAGTGTGGGGTATTAAAGTCACCAGCACTGAAGAGTACCCTCATCTGAAACCTGCACGGTACAGACGGGGCTTCATCCACAATGGCATCATGGTACACTGCATTTCCATTACTTCATAATCGTATCTCTGTAGAAATGTCTAAAGGGAATGCTGTTTTCCATATGGCTTGGAGTTGTAAGAGTGGCATTTTAAATCTATTGGTAGTAGAAAAAACAAGAAGGGGGACCCGCGATACTCGCAGGGGGGGAGAAGCTCCATGGGAGAAGGAAGCAGCCGCAGGTGAGCCTTCTCCCCTGCCCCCCCCGTCCCCGGCATCCACAGCGAGGACCACACCCCTCCAAGCCTTCTCCCTCTTCCCACCCCCCCAGCACCGGTGGCATGGCCTGAACTTGGCCTGCCAAGCTTGCTCCCTCCCCCCTCCCCTAGCAGTGGCAGTGATGAGGCTTGGCCGGCCCGCCAAACTTTCTCCCTCCCTCCTCCCCCAGTGGCAGTGAGGCCTGGCCAGCCCCCCGCAATCAGCACGTCGTCAAAATAGGGCACTGTGCCAGGTACCCCCCTTAGTAGACGTTCCATGAGGCCCTGAAAAATCCCAGGTGCTACGTTGACCCCGAATTGCAGCCTGTTCACTTTAAAAGCCCCTTGGTGGGTTACAATTGTTTGGGCCTCGGCAGCCTCCGGGGTGACAGGCAACTGCTGGTATGCCTGGGCCAGGTCAAATTTGGCGAAAATCTTGCCACCCCCCAGGGAAGCCAAAATGTGGCTTATTACCGGGACCGGGTACGAATGTTGCTGCAGCGCCTTGTTAATCGTACATTTGTAATCGGCGCATAGTCGTATGGACCCATCTGATTTGACAGGGGTTACGATCGGGGTCTCCCATTTGCTGTATGGTACTGGCTCTAAAACCCCTTGCTCAACTAGTTTGTCAATCTCTTTTTCCACCTTATGTTTGAGAGACACAGGTACTTTCCGATACTTCAACCTAATAGGTTTGACTGACGGATCTAAGTCAAACGCAACCGGGGGGCCCTTGTACCTCCCCAACCCTTCGGCAAATACATCAGGGAACAGGTCGTACAGCATGCCCCATTTATTTTCAGACATCCTGTTAATCCCAGAAATACCAATGCCCAATGGCTCAAACCAATCTAACCCTAGCAGGTTAACCCGGTCTCCCTCTGCAATCAGGAATGACAGTTTAACACATTTCCCCTTATACTCAACAGTAACAGAGTCCCGTCCGGCCAAGGGAATTCGGTTGCCCTGGAAGTCGGACACTCTGGTTCCCGCAGGCTGGAGCCGCCGCCGGCTTCGGTTCGGGAACAACTGGCGCCAGGACGCGGCAGAAATCACCGTCACGGACGATCCTGAGTCCACCTCCATTGTACAGGGTCGGCCGTCGAGGAGTGGAGTCACGGTGATCTTGCCCTGGCTGCTGGTGCGATTTACGGCCGATGCGCTCGACAAGGTCGCCGTCAACTGGCAGCTTGCTTCCGATGCTGAGGAACGGGTCTTGCCTTGGGTGCTGACTGGAGTGCCCCTCTGCGCTGACCGGTTGTTAGTTGAGGGATCCTTCTTCGCTGATCTGCAGACTCTGGCCAGATGACCACGCCGCCCACACGCTCTGCAGTCGACATCACGAGCCCAACAGGAGTCGCGCTGGTGTTTCCCGCCACAACCGGAGCAAGGCTTGACGTTGGTAGTCTTCGCTGGGGTCCGCTTGCCTCGAACCGCGTTGACGTCATCATCCGCGTCTTCGCCCTCGCTGTCTCGTTGAGCGTGTATACTGGGCTCTGCCACCCGCTGGCGGACCTCCTTCGTGGACTTCTCCGCTGCTTCCGCGGCCACGGCCTCTTCGTAGGCCACTGCCCAGGTCAGGGTGGTGCGGGCGAACAGCCTCTGTTGCAGCCTTTCATCTTTGAGACCGCAGACGAGACGGTCTCTGAGGGCTTCCTCCACGTTGTGGAAATTACATGGCCGTGCGGCTTTGCGAAGGGCCGCCACGAAATCTGCGATGGTCTCGCCTCCGGCCTGGTTCCGCTTGTAAAAAGCGTGCCGGCAGGCGATCTCCGACGGTTGTGGAGAATAGTGAGCCTTAAGCTTCTCCGTGATGTCAGCGTAGGTGACAGTCTTTATATCAGTTGGGGCCACCAACGACCTGGCTATGTCGAAGGTCCCCTTCCCGCAGGAACTCAGGAGGCATGCTCGTTTCTTCGCCTCATCGGTGATGTCGTGGGTCTCCAGATGGAACTCGAACCTGGACAGGTAGGAGTCCCAGTCTTCGGAGGAGGGTTCGAAGCACTCGAACTTCTGGCTTCCAGCCATCGGGGGAGACTTGGGCACCGGAGCTGGTGGCGCCTCCGCCGGATCGGCTGCTGTGCTCTGCTCGCTTTCTTCCGGGTCCGAAGTGTGGATGTCCGCAGGGCTGCCTACCTGCTCTAACATCCCATCTTCGTCGCCAATTGTTAGATCGCGCTAACAAAGGACCCGTAGAGTGATTCAGCAAGTGATTCAGCTTTATTGGAAGTAACGAACAAGCACTAACTCAGTAAGAAACCAGAACAGAAAACAGTGGGAGCTTATGCTCCTTTTAAACATAACCGGGCTAATGTAGCCACGCCTATTTACAAATAACAACCAATGAGATTGCTAGGATAAAGACCAATGGGAGTCTTTCCCTCCTAGGGAATGGTATTGTTCTGATTGGTCGCTGTTACGAAGCGACCAATAGGAAGTTCGCTCAGAGGAGCCCTGGTCTGGCTCGAAGCTTAACATGGGAGTCCTATGAGGTGATTCATGTAATCATTTCAATACATTACACTTGGCCCGCCAAACTTTCTCCCCCCCCCCGGCAGCGGTGAGGGCTGAGTGGCTTACAGCCGCTGGCCGGTCAAGCCTTCTCCCACCCCCTCTCCCTCCCTGGAGGTGGCAAAGCCGTTCTCAGAGCGTTCCCTGTGCCCCCACATATTTTTCCCAAGTTTTCACATTTTTCTGCACATCTGGGTATTGCCCCAAATGTGCGGGAAAATCTTCCTGCCCCCCAAGTGCCCCTGATGTGCGGATTTAGATATCCGCACGGAGGGGGCATGTTGGGAATTAGATATATAGATATAAGAAAGTCTGCTTCAATAGGAATTTCAACCAGTTGAGGAAACAGTTATCTTCCAAAGTATTAACTGGAAGATGATTAGGTAATTAATATGAATATCTAACTGGCAATGTAGGCCTAATTACAAGCAAAATGATGCATTCCTTTTGCAAAATATCATTCATATTGCCAGACTATGCCTTATAAACAACATGAGCATTTAGACAATAAGTGTAAAGGAACATAGCTTACAGCCACTTCAATGGCTTCACTTCAGTGACATATTTCTGCATGCTTTATCCATGTTCCCAACAAACTCAGATGGGCACACATATTTCTCCTGCCAATGTGTTGTGACATGGTAAAAGAAGTAATCATCACAGCGAAGGAAGTGAAATTATTTCCAGCCAGTACAAAGAGAGGGCAGCTGTTCATATTTTCCACTAAATGTCATGGCACAAGGTCAAAGATGTTCATCCAAGGTCATCTCTCTGTAGAATTAACTTGGCCCATTGATGATATATAAAGCTGTAGCTGGTTGGCAGCTGTAACAGCCAAAGCAGCAACAGTGAACAGATTGGAGCAAAAAAGCACAGATGACTATTATGTCCAAGGGAAATGTCAAAGAAATTCTAGGCAGATGGGAATCAGAAACATTTACTAGAGGTCATCAATACTGTATATTGGTTCAAGTTTGTTGAAATTTATTTTATGGATCTGTATATAAAATAGATTCCATTCTCATAACACATTTATTTTGAGTCCCTGAAATGAAGAAAGTTGGGGTTAAAAGATGTTTCATTTTTAGGATCATGATGTTTAGGTTCAAAGATGTTGTGTTGAGCCTTTCTGCAGATGAGGGGGGGATTCTTTTCACATTATGTTGCATACATCTGCTATGCTGTCTGAATCCAGCAGAGGTGGGATAGGGAAAGCCAGACTTTTGTTTTTTCCCCTCCACAGCCATTTCTGTATGGTCAGCAGGGGTTGTTTCCTCCCGGAGTGTCCTGGAGCAGTGCTCCGGCAGAAATGAGCCCAGGCTCCACGCCCCCCCCCCGGGGGGGAATTAAATGCCCTGGGTTCCCTGCCCGATCTTCCCCAAGTGCCCCACAGAGAAGATCGATCAGGGAAGCCAGGCATGTCTCCTTGCCTCCTCTTCCTTCTCCAGCCAGCCCACCACGACGGGCTGGCTGGAGCAAGAAGGGGAGGTGGGGAGACATGCCCACCTTTCCCCTAGAGACTTTCTGCTTTTGCAGAGAGACTTGGGGGGAATTAAATGCCCTGGGTTCCCAGCCCGATCTTCTCCAAGTGCCCCTTGGAGAACATCCATCAGGGAAGCCAGGCATGTCTCCCTGCCTCCTCTTCCTTCTCCAGCCAGCCCGCCGTGATGGGCTGGCTGGAGAAAGAAGGGAGGCAGGGAGGCATGCCCTCCTTTCCTCCTGATCTTCTCCAAGAGCCCCGCAGCTGTGGGGCACTTGGAAAAAAGATCTCGCAGGGAACCAAGACATGCCTGCCTCTCCGCTTTTCCAGAGAGACGGGGGGGGGTTAAATCTGAGTATTTCCCGCTCTCCCCTCCCTCCGTCCCTCCCTCCGCCCTTCCCTCCCTTCCACTCCTCTCTCCCTATTTCCTTCCTTCCTTCCTTCCTTCCTTCCTTCCTTCCTTCCTTCCTTCCTTCCTTCCTTTCTCTCTCTCTCCCTCTTCCTTCCTTCCTTCTTTCTTTCTTGCCTTCTGACATACTTCCGGTGATGTCAGGGGGTTTGGCATATGGAAATAACTTATGCTAATGAGCTCCTGCACCTTTTTTTCTACGAAATTACCCCTGATGGTCAGTGTCCATGTTTCTAACAGAATGTGTAAAAAATGTCCAGGTAATCGAGACAGGATTCTGAGGTGGCATTTGTATGTCGGGGGAAAAAGAGACTAGTGAGTAAAAAGAACAGCAATTTAGCTGTCCGAAATGACACATAAGAACTGAAAATACTACAAAAACAACCCTGTAGAATTTTTTCCCCTGCTTTATTCTCAGGTTCTCCCTAGACAGACATGTGGACTTTTCACCCATACAATCTTTTATAAAGAATATCCTGGGGGGCCTCAAGAATTAGACAAAAGCATCCGAGGAGGCGAACTGTTTCTTACCATCCTTCTCAACCCCGTATGTACCTCTTTTTCTTACTTTACAACAATAGCAAAATTCTGTATGATGCTGAAGAAGGTGGGGCAACTTTCATTTATGTCCAAAGCACAAATAACATCTATTTGGTCAGAGCTTAATACTGACTACCTTATAAGAAATACTTGCACCCAGACAATATTATACATATAAACATAGTATAATGGAGCTCCATTTTTAAAGAAAAGGTGTCACCTGAGTCACTGGATGTATTTGAATATCATTGCTCCTTCTAAACATAAACTTGGTGGTGTCAGGATCCACAGCAAAACAATGAAGTACATGCTTCCAGGAAGGTTTTACTTTTATTGAAAAGCCATAGATGCAGTAACATGAACACTGTTAGGAATGGCGGGTTACCTATGCGTATAATAGGATATAGGGCATTCGTATGCGCCCCCCCCCCAAGTATTACCCAATTAGATGGGCTCCCGCGCGCGGGCATTTGGCAGATTCCCTAACGGCTGCAAGTAATAATCTTCCCACGAAACCTAGACACACCAACACCTCCTGAGACCTTGAGAGATATGCGTTACAGCTCAGATGCAATTAAGCTCATGGGAAGGAATGCAAAGCAATTAGAAACATACACCACACTCATGGCAGCATAGCTGACAGGTGGTTGTGTTCCTATTGGAAGGCAGTAAAAGTGCAAGGGTTTATGCATATGGAGAACTGTCCAAGTATGCAGAAAAAGATTATTTTGTACTTTTCTGTACAAAAACAAACAAACCAAAACACAGATTAATACTAATCATGCTCAAGGAGGTGTGAGATGCGGAGGGTAGTTGAGCATTAGTTAAACAAAGGAGCAAAGGTGCATGGGAACTTGGTGAATCAAGCCCCTCATAGCTTGAAATTTTCCAGTAAAGATACAAGAGTAGGAGGGTGTTTGGATCAGGGAGAAAATTTCCCAAGTTTTTCTTCTCTCTCATGATTCCTGCTTTCTGCTGTCTCCTTATCAGCAGAATATTTAAGTGCCTATCATAGGGTACATCTCCAGTTCTGACATATTTATTTCCTATGTTGCCCCCCTCAGTTGAACCCAAACAGATGATAACCAGAAACCAAGCTTGTTATTCATTTTATCCCTTAAAAAAATCTTCACTATTTTGCATGCTAATTTAACAAGCCACCATCTATATATATATACAACTGTGATCTGTAATTCCATTTCACTGTCTGACAAAGTGTGCATGCACACAAAAGCTCACACCTTGAAAGCTCACAGCTTTGTTGGTCTTAAAGGTGTCACTGGACTATAACTTTGTTCTATTGCTTCAGACCCAAACGGATGCCCACTTTGATGTATCAGAAAGGCAGAGAACTGATAAGTTTTTTACATACTCAGCAGTCTCCTTAGGAATGCAGGAAAATAATCCCCTTTTAAAGCTGTCTATTCCTGTGGAACCAAATATATATTTCTCCTACAATCCATGGCTTTTCACGTAATGTTTGTGTATCAATCTTTATCTGCTTGCCCATACTTTGATATCCTGAATATACCCATATCTGCTTCTCTGTGTTTCGTGAATAAAGGAAGGTGGATAAGGTTCATTTGAGCTCAGTTAGCCTTGTATTTACCTATAAAGGTATCTGATCTGTACTTGGAAGTGGGGACATGCTTTAAGGTCTCTCTATATAATGTTTTTCCTCTGAGTACTATGGTTCAACGTATCTTACATGACAAAAGGGTAATTGTATAGAAATATTGCTTTCTGCTTTCTATATTCACATGCCTTCTCCTGTGAGTACATTCTGATGACATGCTGTGTCTTATTTCCTGTTGCAAAGCCAAATGGTGAGGCCAGATGGCCAGAGCAAACTTTATAACCATGCCATATAATCCACATTCCTTCACACCTTTCTACTAAAAGCTAGGCTTGAAGGCGCCTGGGCTATGTTGAACATGTCACGTAGGCAATGAAGAAGCTGTGGAGTTTGGGTCACCTGACTGCAGGAGGGGCCTCAAACTTCTAGCCAATCTATATACACACCTGATTTGTAGCTATAAGAACCAACAATTGGGCACACCCCCTGTCGTGATTGGCTGAATGGCCACGGCTAATCATGATTAGATTGGGGTATAATTGATTGATCCCTATGGGAGTGAGTTTTTTTAGCTCTTGCTCTCTTCTTCCTCTTGCCATTGTCTGTGTATTGCACCTGAAATGCTGTTTCTTGGGAAACAAAGAGCTGCTTTGTGAATTGGACCACATGGTTGTGCAAAATGGGATTTATCTTCAAAATCCCTTGGACTGTCTTGGACTGTTGGATGTTCCTGAATTTGGTAACTATGAATCTCATTAATGTGTAGTTAAGGCAAAATCGCCATAGGTTTTTATTGTTTTCCGTATCCTCTACTAGTCTGATTGCTATGCTCTGTACTGAATAAAGATCCTTCTTATTTCTAATTGTCTCTGACGTTGTAAATTGAGCTCCAAGGCTAAATCTTGTGGTTGACGCTGACCACATACGCTACCTTTGTAAGAGTAAATAGTGTGCATCTCTGAGAAGAGCTGCTGATGTGTAAAGCCCAGATGCCAACTAAGGGCTTGAATCTCTTCCCTTAGGAAAAGGTAGGGACTATTGAAAAAGATTCTGGTAGCAAATTGTTCTGAAAACCAGAGAGAGTCTAGACTATCTCATGGTTGTTGTTTAATGTGCTGAAATACTGGATTCCCTCGCATTCCTGGACTGGACTGAAAGGGTTAATCCTGTACAGTAATGCATCTTAATGATTGTAGATGTTCCCACAATGGACCTTAAGTGTCAGAAAATAACTCTGAACAAGTGCCCATCAGAACTTAGAGGGCCTAGGGAATAAGTTAAGGCTCCCTTAGGAGGGAACATGCTTCCAAGCAGACAAGCTTGCCACAGATGAGGGGGTATTCTTCTCAATATAAGTTGCAGAGGGTTCTAAGTGGTGACAATGGTTGATGACATCATCAGCCTGCATCTGCAACTAGAGCACCCCTTCTAAGTGTAGGTTGGACTGACCCATCCTATTTTCAACCTTGTGCTTTTAGAATAAACTCCCGGAAGAGATCAGGGCCCTGCAGGACCTCTTACAGTTCTGCAGGGCTTGCAAAATGGAGCTCTTCCACCAGGCGTTCGACTAGGGAGCCGCATCATGCACCAAGGAGTGTCCCTGTGCCCTGACTTTACCATATTTTACCCCCAGCCTGTGCCCTGGCCTACCATCATTGTCTCTAGCATATGCCTGCTGCATAATAAGTGAGCAAACTGAGCTGGTATGAAAGTTACGGAAATCATACGGTCACCTAAGCTATATTAGAAATAATTTTTGCTCTTGTTTTATCTGATAATGTTCCAACTTTTAACTGTGTTTTAATTGATTGATATTTATGTTATATGTTTATATAGGTTTTAATTGTATTTATGAAATGTTGTGTAAGCTGCCCTGAGCTCACTTGTGAGGGGAAGGCAGGATATAAATTGAATGAATAAAAGCATCATTTGACAAATAACACTAAATACACATTTTCATCTATATTTCTATGTAGCCATCCAGAATATCTGATGACATTACTAGACCATATATTATTGCTTGCTCTCCCGACAAGATCTTTCTAACTGCTAGGAAAGTATGAAATTATTCTAGCCTGTGGGTGCCTATCTTGTGTCAGTTAATGAAAGCAACCAACAGAATCACTCATGCTGGTACAAGGCAGAGTATAACTGTTTTACTGCCAGGTTGTAATTTCTGTAGGTTTCTATTGCCTGTTGACAGGAAGATCTCTTCCCCTTCCTGTGTAGTGCAGCAGGTATTCCTTTTACTTTGGATTTAGGGGAGTTTACCATGATTTTCTTTAAAAGGGAAAATCAAGCTATTAATAAAGGAAGTAGGCAGGAGTCAGCAAGGCTGACTAATAAATAAGTGGAATTCATAGCAGTTTTTCATATGAGGTGTGTATGCATATCACTCACCTAAAATCTGGACATCTATCCCCTGGGAGGCCCACCCAAAGACATGCCTATTTCCAGTATTTCTGTTTCCTGCAAAAGAAAGGGAAAGTCCTTTTGGCTGAGGAAAATTTTACTGTTGGACGAAGGCAGATTAGAGGCAAAGGAAATTGAAGGAAGAGTGGGATGAAGGGCCAAAGAAGCCCAGGAGGTTCCATTCAAATTCTGTTTAAAACAGCCTGGCCAAATATTTGCTACCGGTTTCTGGTTGAATATTGAATTGTACTGTCCACAGCATCCATTCATTCATAGATTGGCATTATAAAGACATAGATCCAGAGACCTACGCTAGTAACTTTCACCAGCAATTTAAAAATCATTTGACCTAGAGGATAGTAACATGGTAAGTGCATAATGGGCATTTTGTTGATATCAAATGGCACCATAGTTACCCAGAGAAATAACAATGCAAAATGTATTAACTAAATAATAGTACATTGAGAGTGAAGGAGCAGGAGGGGAAAGCGGAATTACCATGCTCTTATAATGCCATACATTATTCCTAAGGGGCAGCATTCATGTAGATAATGTAACTGACTGAATTGCACTTGGCATGAATAGAGATCCCCAGAGCAATACATCCTGAGACATTGTCAAAGCTGAATTCCATTATCTGTCACTGGAGGATAGCATGTTCCACAGTTACAAAAGTATTGATCCAATAGATTTCCTTTCAAAGCACGCATAATGCAACAGGTCACTGGGCAATTATATTTAAGCAAGTCCATTGACTGAACCTGGGATGGCACCCAGTGGAGTTTAAAAAGTTGTGGTTCTGTTCAGTGAACAGACATACCTTTTGCATTCACTCTTCAATGCGGACTGGAAAATTACTGGGTTGAATGATTTAGAATATAGGTTTTCAAAGTAATGTTGTGATTTATAGTTGTGTCTGAAGGAAATTTCGAAGATTCAGCAGTGCAAAACAAAAGGAGGGGACCAAGTGAACTATCTTTTTTCTTCCCAAAACTGCTATTACAGCCAGTTAAACTCTG